TGAATGTGATGAGATGCAGAAATATTGAAAACACATGTGGTATTTATTTTAGATAATGAGTGCTTTAGTCCTATTTAAGTAATGGCTTTTGCACACTTAACACACCTTTTCCATTTGCGAATGCTTTTTAAATAAGCAAGGGCATAAACTGGGAAGCGAGCCTTTATCCAGTTGTACCTGGATAAATGCTAGAAAATTAGAACGTGTCACCGGACTCAAACGAAAGTTAGTGGATTTACATTTTGATATCACTTTAAACCGTATTGAAAACTTCATTAAATTATACAAACAGACAAAATAATTTACATATATTTGATTAAATCCGTATACAATGATGTGATGCTCAGGTCGTAGTGGTGTTAGGTTTTCTACTGGTAATATCGCTCCTCAACACACCTACGATATTACTGTTCAAACCAATTCCTTGGGATGAATAAAGAATCGTTTTGTACTATATTAATCTTCAGTTAGTTCTATTAAGTCATTAAAGTGTTTGCATTTCAACTGGCTTTTCACTTTAGGTAAGAGCGCAAAATCCTTAAGGATATAAAGTCACTTTTCTTGGCGGACTCATCTGTTGGCATCAAGTATTGTTTCTCGTCCTTTGCTGTCCCGTGTGTACCGTTTATACACTAACGGCCACATTAGGATTTTATTCTTCGTTGACTGTGATCTTTTCATCAGTTCAATACATTGAACTGGCGTTATGTACAAGACCTAGACAAAATTCCATAACTGCCGGTTCTTTCTATTTTTCTTCCGACTTCATTATTTAACTATATGTTATACTGTTTGTATTAAAAAACATCACACATAAAACAGTCAAATAACGTAACCATCCGCAATTCTCTGGTGCGGCCTTTTGTCATGTGCTATGATGTCTGTTACTTTTATTTTGCCTTTCTAGATTATTTGATTATAATAATTAAACATCTGATAAAGATGTGAAGTTTTCGGTAGTTAACCACATGCATTAATTAATAAGTATATAATAAAATGCGTACTTTAACTTTTGGATAAACATTTGTATACATTTCTTTGTATATATTTTTATGACCATTTACAAAATTAATGGCTCAAGTAAATCTGGTCCTTCTAAATAAAAAAAAACTGCCAGTTTTTTTAAAGGCCACGATATATTCAAAGGGTGTATACTTAGACCATGTAGTATTTAAAGCATAAAAAACCTATGTTGTGTGGAGTAAAAACAAGTTTATTTTATATTTACAAAAAGATTGCGTGACATTTATTTAATTTGAGCGTAGTATATCTTTAAATATATTGAAATAAATTAAGACGTAAAAAATGTAATGTAAATTGAAAATAGTTCATATCTTATAATGCATCAGATTATGTTTGCACAATTTTTGTGTTTCCATGTTTCAGAATTTTCTGTATAGGTCTACAATTATATATTTTGAATTGATTTCAGAGATTTACAATTACATCAATGCATGCTTGTGTAATGCAACAACCTTCTCCTCCGATACCAAATAAAACGTATGTAGATATAAAATATATTTTAATAATGGGTTTTTGTTCAAAAAGGCAAACTGTAAGACTTACAAAATTTGAAATTTGAAGTAGCGAACATACCATTATTCGTAAAATATACGACCTTTAAAATCAATCTGTATGTTTGAAAACAATTTTATAAATGTATTACTAACGTAAATCTATCGAGACAGAAATGTATTCATGTAGGTTGTACACAAGAAACGGCTAAAAGAATTGTTTGTTTGATATTTTATGTGCTTCTTTTCTGTGCAGACTTCTTTAAAATAATTCTAGAACATATGAATCTTATAAATCAATGTCAAAGAGCTTGTTTTGCAGCATAATGGTAATATGTTTTTCCTGATAAAAATTTCTTTTCGAGAACCTGTATTAAAATGAATGGTATTACATGGATGATGTAACAGATAAATTGTTTTTGTTTTCTATGATATTATATGTTTAACAGCTGCCAAACAAACTACGGAGATTTTATCATAAGATGTGAAATTGAGTACGATGGTCATGAGGAACCTGTGAAAGTTTTATTCATCCGAAACTGGAATGGCATATGTAAATTCCCGTCAAGCCAGGACATTGCTGTGACAATCTACTCGGAGAGTTCGACTTGTGCTGGCGTTGCCAATAGATGTCATCCTGCTCAGCCGTTCTCAGTCAATGGTGATGTTTGCAAAGAAATTCATAACTGAAACAGTTGCATTTTCAAAGCATAATATTTACACCTGAAAATAAGTTTAGCACACCCGGCATTTTGCCTCAATTTTGATATGACCACAACTGAAATTTTAAATGTTTTTGGGCAATGGTACAAACAACCTATAATCAACCTGCAACAACTGGAACAAGCTGTGCACCAAGAAAAAATATATATCTCTAAATTGCAATAGACGCCTTATTGGTAGAATGAGAAGAAGGGTTGATGCTATCATCCGGGCACGTGGCGTTTACACACATTATTGTTATTAAAACTTTGGCTACATAATGTATTTTTAGGTTACATAACCGTCAACATTTATCAAAAATATCCACCAGTAACTGTTCTGTAAACACTCCAACACCATATTTATAAACATTTACATTTTTGGTAAAAACAACACATTTGCCTATGCCTCAATAATTTGGTTAAAAATAAAGTAAACCTAGTTAACGGTTACTAAATTGGTACCGCTACTTATAAAATTACTATGTCTTAGCTCAATTAAGTCGTCATCTTAAAACAGTGCTTTTAATCACAAGCGATTGTAAATTTCCGGTGTATGCTTAACTTATTTCCAGATGTATATATCTGTAGGGATTAATAGTTGTAAAACATTGTTTATCAAAGATTTTATAATATGAATGCCTTTCGATTTGAGTTTTGAAACATTACTGATTAGCGATTCTAGTTGTTTTGGTTTTCCCTTCTCCCCGTTTTTATTTATTCATTTATTTATTTATTTATTGGGGCGGGGATTGGAGGAGAGCGGGTTGGATGTTCAGAGCTTCATTTAGTGCTGCCGTTCACATTCAATGTAACGCTAACTATTTTTTTATTCCTTCTTCATATCGTAACCCATTGTAACGAAATACTGGTTTAATGTGTTATATGTTTTATTATCAAATGCTTCTTCAAACTATTGAATGTTTCATGAAACTTGTAGTCTATATCAATCATGAGAGATAACTGCGACACACGGTTACATATGAAGCATTAATATTTACCTCCCTTTCCTTTCGTGTTCACCTATATTATATTTTGGTGTTAGTTTGGTTTTCCAGCACACTCACACAATATGTGTGTGTGTGTGTGTGCGAGCGAGCGAGCGTGCGTGCGTGCCTGTGTGTGTGTCCGTGTCTAGGCTTTATATAATAATATTGTTTAATATTTAATAATGTGAACATAATTATTAACATAAAGTGGATATCTACATAGTTCACAATAAATTCCTGCATTACAAGAGTTTATTTTCACACCAAGAATTAACTTGTAATATTTCAAATGTAATCTCTCTATATCTTTAGATTTAGTAAATCCCAAGACTGGACACGTATAATTTTTGATAGCACCGACAAAAGCATCAAATAATTGCGAGGAAACAGAAGGAGATATTTCATATTTATTACTACATTCGTTGCTTTCAGAGCTTTACCTATAAGATATTGGTTGTGGAGTTTAAAGGACCTAGTGTAATTAAATACTATACCTATATGAATAAAATCGTAAAGTTACACACAATTTCCAAAGCTTCATAGTTATATAACAAACGTTCATGAGGAAGAACTGGTCCTCTATTCCGAAAAAACAACTATTTTAGTGTTGGCTGTATTTACCTCTAATCCCCATAATTTACAGTATTTTTATAAAGAGTTTAATCTTTGCTTTAAATCCTCTTGTAAATTATCAATTATTACCATATCTTCAGCGACTAACAATATAACTATATACATGTGTCAAATATATTTATTCCACAATCGACGGAGTTTTGTAAAAATAATGCTAGGTCTTCTAAATACCGTTCCGAATATTTTTTGAACAAGACTAAAGTTAATGCAAATTTATTATATGAGTAAATTTTCCGAAACAAATGCTTAATGTTGTTCATCACTTGCTTCTCGCTGCTCGCTTTCGGTTTGGGTTGTTTTGCATCCAGGCAGGGATTTTGGATACTTTCTGCTTCAGTTTCTCCTTTATGTAATTGATCAGGGTTTGAATTTGTTAAAAAACGGCTTTGTCCCAATTTGAATTACATTTAGATGATACAAGTTTATCAATAGAAGGTTAGAACCACTATTTTGTAACAGTAAGTAATTGATTATTTAATGAATCTACTTCACATTTCCCTGTATTCCTATGTGGTTAAGAATCTAACTAAGTTCGCTTGACTGAGATTTTAAGTTTCTTAAATTGAATATACAGAGTGTTATCTAAAAAACTAAGTTTCTTAAGACTATGGCCTAAAATGTATGGCAAGGCCAAATCAAGATCTTTTGATTCACCAGTGAAGACAGCTCGATAATTAGATGGTTTTATTTCATATGTAAAATGATTTTCCGAGACTGCTGACTGCTAAAACGATGATGAGAATGTGACTGCTTAACGTCCATCATTCTAGAAGTGTTATCCTGCGTTAATCTTCAGTATCTGCAAACAATACTACTGTTGATTAATTATGACATAAAATTGGTATATTTGTTAAGTTCCCAATATTGTGTAATATCGTTTACGCCTTTTTTAATTTGACTTTTGGTCTTATAATACTGCACGTTTGTAACGTCGTTTTTCATTGGATAATCGTGACGTTTATATAGGTTTATATACACGGCTGTTGTCGATTCATGAAGAAATCTTACTTTTTTCTCTAAAAATTGATGTTTGCTGTATTATAAATACAATAAAAAGGCCGTTTGCAATATAACCCTCGCCTAGCGGCTCGGGTTATATTTACATACAGCCGTTTATATAGGGCCATATAACCTGTCAACAATCTTTATAACTAATAATCGACATGTAGGTTAAAATTTTATACGAACAAAAAAAGTTTGCTTAGAATGAAAGTTACTAGTAAATAACTGACACCAACAGTAAATATAACTGACACTAAAAGTAAATATAACTAATACCAAAGGGAAATATAACTGACATTAAATGTAAATATAACTGACACCAAAACGGTAGTTATTTAAACTGTTTTATGGATAAGAACGCCAGAGAAGCTGTTTATTGCGTATGTGTCTTCGTGTAACTTTTCATTGCTTTCACAGTTAGCTGTACATTTTACCAAAACTTCGTTTCCTTTTTCAACCGCTGTAATTGCATTAATGGTATAACATTTCCACCAATTCTTATCTCCAAACGCTGTTTTAGATATAGGTGTATCAAACACAGTGATTCCAACTAAAACCCAACTGTTGTCAATCAAACAGACCAGTGCTGTAAACAGATATAATCCACTAACGTGTGCCACAAACACACCAGTGTCTTTGTTATAAGCATCGCCGATGTTAAGAATGATATTTGAGTAGACAAACACCTTGTTGTTTTCTAACGATCTATCACCGACCGTGTCTGCTTTGAATGCAATAATTGGCGTAAATGCCAGTTCTGAAAGTACGTTACATATGCAACATAACTCAATTTGCATAACTCAAATGCAACGTGTCTTAATGTTAGATACATTTTTTATTTAATATCAAACTTTTATTTAAACATATTTTATTAATTCAAATGCTCCACGAGATAAATAAAACAATTGTGGCTATCTTGGAAAAGTGCACTCATCTATGGTGGCTGATTTGGTACATTGAGCGTTGTGTTGTCGATAGCGACAACGCAACCTATATTGTTATCGCCTTTCCGTCTTGTCGATAGCGACAACATGACAAAATGTCAAACGGCACATTGTGGCTCTGACGTCTTGTCGTCCTGTCGCTATCGAAGCACGCCTAACGACGCATTATCGTGCGGCGCGATGTCTTCCCTTTCGCTTGGCTTATTAGCCAATCCCTCGATTTGAACCAAGCAAAAATGAGACATCGCGACAACACGTCGCTCGACAACGTGCCATTTGGCGTACATCGTTAGCAACAGGACGACAATACGAAAGTCCGACAACACGCCGTTTTGTGATTTGTCCTGTTGACGCTAGCGCCAACACGACGCACAAAAGCGTTCTCTAAATCAGTCAACATATTATTCTGTGATTTATATATCATTCTGAGTCCATTTAAAAAGTCAAGTATCATTAAATCTAAGATCAAGAAAAAGAAATATAAAAGAAACGTTGTTTAAGCTTTTGTCAGCCTGTAAAGCAACATTTTAAAAACGATCATATTTAGAAACAACAATGTATTTGTAAGTAATTAAAATATATTTAAAATGTACGTATCAACCAGTTTCATTATGGATTACATTAACAATCTTAGTGAACAAAGTTAACAATAAAATTACATTTAGTTCCGAACTTTCAAAGCAAGTATATTCTCATTAAACAAAATGATTATTAAGAAGCAATAATTATGTGTTAAACGTAAAACTGATTTAATTGACATGTCAATTATGAATACATTTTTGTCCGTGTCGTTTATGAGCAATAATATGGAGTATATAACTTATGTTTTGAAGGTTACACCAGCTTAAAATAAAGATCGTCGTATCATCCACAAAAGGATATTTGATTAAGTAATTGCCTGATATGCAAGACGTCTGTGGTTTGATTCCTACTGTTGCCATTGTTTTAAAAATACTCTTTCTGTATTTTTTTATGACCGAGTGCTTGAATAATTGTCGACACAGATATAAAGGAACTGAGAAACAATATTTTGTGTTGATTTTTATTGTGTTTTATGGCATTCAAATGACATTGACTGATTTTGATCCGAATGAAATTTAATATTAATTCTTAAAACGTGTTGATTAAAAATACTATATACTTTACCAAAAATGAGCGCAAAATTATAACAACAAAACGAATAACAGAAAAACAATCCTAGCTTCAATAGCGTTGAAAATACAAAATTATAAATAAGAGAAAACATGGATCTACGCGGTCTCGATCTTGCAACCTTAATGGTCTTGGTTATTTTGTTTGGTCATTGTATCAGATATTAACTTATGATAATTATGTTAATGTTACACTAACATTGATAGATAAAATGTATTGAAATTAACCCAGGATATACTTCATGCATCACAACAACACTGCAAAACCAAATGAAATTTAACCAGTTATATTACCCTGTATTGTCTGTACTTCTTTTGAAAAGTTATCCATTGTTTCGTCAGTTTTAACTTTCATCCCCTTCAGCTCCTCGTCCATTTTTGTCTTAAGCACTTCAATATCACCTTCTTTTTTCATAAGATCCTTATTGAATTCACTTCTTTCCGTTTTCAGTTTCTCTAAAGCATCGAGTACTCGTTGTTCCGTAAGTTGCATATCACTTTTCATTTTCTCAACTTTTATTTCCTGTCTAATCATTTTTTCTAGAGTCTGTTCTTCGTTATGAAACTTGGAGCAGGTTTGTTCTGACACAGATGGCATACTTGAATGTAATAGCAAAATCACCATAAATATGGAACGATCCATCTCTGTGCTCTTCTACTCGCAAACTGATGCTATTGAAACCTTGAATTCTCACCATAGCGCAAGCAAAATGCGATTCTAAGAGAGGGGTATATCACAAATATTTGATAGTAATTATTGCAGAAAAGGTGATACTTTTAAGTCCTATCGATATCTATTTAAAACATACTACAAATTTCGAAACCGAAAAGATAATTTCACAAAATATTGAATATATGTACATTGCCGTGAATATCTTTAGAACCTATTGATATTTTTCATACATTTTATCGTGTTAATCCTAGTTATAACATTATGTAATATAACCTTATTGTCTTTATGTTCACACTTCACATAAGTTATACTTATGTTATAAAAAGGTTATGTCTAACCTGACCTTATACAAGAACAGCTTTCAATTTTATTCATTTAAATTAATGTTCGTCGGCATTTTAGACATTAATATAAATTATATTAATGTCTAAAATGCCGACTTTTATAATTATATTATATAATTATATAAGTATTGTCAAAACTTAAATTTTGGTTCAATTTATTCCGTCAAGGAGGACTCTCGTTTTGTTTTCGTTGGGAGAAGGGGAAGTGAGATGCTTATTAAAACGTTTTCATTGTCGATAATGTTCATTTTCATTCTATATCTCCTTTCATTAACTAGTAATTATTGCCTATTTCAGTTATACATTTTATCTATCAAATAATTGTAGCAAAAACATCATATCTGTCATGAATATTTACTGATTGAATGAAACAACAGTAACAAAGCCTCTGATCTTAAATCAGGAGAAAACTTACCAGCTCCTTTGTAACTACCCCGTTAATTCAAGTACCATGCGTTAAACGCCGCCCTGAAACTAAGTATCATACAATCAATGGGGAAGCATGTTTCATTAGTTCTAATAAATCAAGTTGTTTTGACGGGACAGGTTTTATATATTTAATGGTTTGATAATGATTTAATTTAGTTTTTGGACGTACAATTGTTTCCCATTGATAACAAAACAAATTGAAACTTTAAAACCAAGCCAAGTTCATAGATAACGTGGATATTTTATATGTTTGGATTGTTATCATCGAAATAAAAAATAGTTTCTGGTCATTAACATTGATAGAAAGTTAAAGGTCATTTAGAAAAACTATTTGTATCACATTATCTAAAAATATTCAGAGGAAAAGGTGAATGAACACACTACTTCAGGTCGTCTTTGATCGCTTATTTCTCGCCGTTAGAATGACACGATGCAAAACAGTACGATTATAGTGCAACCCTTGTAGTACGGTTTTCTTTTGGTTTTATTTGGGGGAGAAATTTTGAATTTTTTTTCTTCTTACTTTTAGTATTTCTTTGTGTGTGTTTTATTGTTTATATTAGTGAATGTTTTATTGTTTTGGTGACGGGGCCGAGGAGTTAAAGTTCTTAATATAACCATTTATCTAACAACATATAACAATCATGGCATACATCTTAATGAATAATTTAAACCCCGGTCACATATTCACGGAATACGCCAACGGAAGAGCCACGGATTAATTCTGGCATCGTCCGTAATTCCCCGTACTGGTCAGTAGCTCTCCGTATTGTAACCGTAATCAATCGTAGTAGTCCTTGTATATCCGTAGCGATCTTTGACAATTTTTGAACATCCACAAAAATTTGCAACGGAAAAAATCAACCGTAGCGTATCCATACTAGTCCGTATTAAACCGTACTGATACGAACTGGTCCGTACGACTGTACTGATTCGTAGTCCACCAACTTGTCAAGGATTTCCACGGTTTGGCACGGAGAACTCCGTATTTGTACGGTTACCCTACGTATAAGCTACGGTTTTAATACGGATTAATACGGCATTGTTACGGAAAGCCACGATCGTAATACGTTGTACTACGGAGTGGCAAGAATTGGCACAGTCTTATACGGTTTATTGCGTTACAACACGAAACGGTTCGGAATGGTACGGTACACCACTGTTTAGTACGGATGAATTAAGTATCATGTACTTTTTCAAGGGTATAAAAACTACCTTCTTGTTAAAAACAGACATATTTGCGGGAACATTTAATAAATGATAATTGCCATTTACTGGCTGCAACTTTATATTGAAATGGCTCAGAATGCGGAGGAAGTGGTCGAGCTGCTTTATGACATAGAAGTAAATTTATATTAATATCGTACTACAATTCATAACTTATAGAATAACATTTAGTGTTACATATTTTACAAACATTGTATTGTGAAATTGGAGTAAATATCATAAACGATTTGTCTCATAAGCCTCTGACGCTGGCCCTTGAGTGATAATAAGATTAATTACACGCTTTTTACATATTTTTAAAACATAGACATCACGATAATTAATGTAATTGTAAGATGAACAGCAAATCTCAAAATTAAAAGAAAAGTAGTATTAATCAACATTTTTCATTAATGATTACTAGTCCATATCTAATCAGGTAAGAAAAGACAGACGAGATAGTGGACTAGGGTTGGGCTTTTACGAAGACCGCTTCATGTTTAGTATGAGGCCCTCATGGCCGAACTTGTTGAGGATCCAGCGTCCTTTAAAAAATTCACTTTAACCCGACCTGATGTATCTCGGGGGTCGGACGCGATTTGGCCGAATCCTCTCCGCCAAAATCATTGAACTCTGCAATTCGTTTTCTGGGTGTTCTTTTCTTTTGAGGCATTTTGAAAATGAGCAAGCAAGAGGTTGTGAAAGGATGTATTAGGTCCGTATAGATCCGTGGCAATTCGTTCTTTTCCGTATCAATACGTTCTTCTCCGTATCAAACCGTACTTATTCGTACTAACCCGTGCTTATACCGTAGCAGACCGTAGTGTATTAGTAGTGTGTCCGTCCTGATTCGTGTCGCTCTATATCAAACCGTGTCGGTCCGTAACAATCAGTGTCTCTCCGGGGGCTTTTGGTGGTAAATTCGTCGGACTCCGTACTCATACCGTTGTGTATCCGTACTGGAACCGTAGCGGACTACGGAATTTCACATTTCTGTAGTAATCCGTGAACGATTAGACCGTAGCTCTTCCGTGGCATTATCCGTGAATATGTAACCGGGGCTTAGAGTCTTATTCAGTACAATGATGACTGGAAGGAATTATGATAACCGGTCCCTGATAGATTGCATATAATGCATATTTACCAGGAGTTTAATTCATATTTGATCATTTTAATTACGACTATGATACAAATGAATAGTAAACCTTAACCATGGAGATCTAGAAAATCAGGTATACTTATTGGAAACACTATGATGACTGAACTTAGAAACTGAGTCACAAGTTGTTATTTTGAATTACAGGCGTTCGGCACATTTGTCTTCCCAGTAAAGGTCAAATTATCATAAAATAACCTCCCCTTCATCATCAAGATACAGCACTTGTTTACTATGTATAAAATATGCAAAGTATATAACTCGCCCTAGCATATTCCCTGAAGCGTTCGACACTTAGCTCTCGCATTTCTTTAGAGTTAGACATAATTTCATATCAATACATGCAAAACATAGCACAATATACATATCTTTCAGTACTGTCAGTAATATATCAAATATAGTTAACAGGTGGCTAGATAGTAATTATGTTCTTGGTGATCAAAGGGAGTTTATTTTATGAAATTTTGACCATTATTGGCAAGACAAATGGTTTTTTTGATAAAACACACACAGGTTCGTACAATGTCATGTAAACCGTCAGAAACGAGTATGAGGCACACATTTGAGTGGGTAGAAGAGTATATATTGAAGGAAGTTTAACACGTCATTATTATTTTGTCAATTAAAGTGTTATGTTGACTAATTATATTTTTTTTCAAACACTGTATTGCATCTCTAAAATCGAAGAATGCTATACCAATGACATTAAAATAAAGTTTCCAGGATAAGTAAACTTGGTGAATAAAACTTTGAACTGGAGTTCTCACGGCCTTTCAAGTAAGCAAATTTAACGTTGTAATGGACGGTTTCATCATGAAAGAATCGTGATTGCTTTATATCTTTATCTAAAGAGCAATCCAGATTAAAACAAGCCTATTCAGTAGATGTTTTGTCTAGAATGCAATTAAAGTTTCAGAACTGAAAATTAGTTTTTAAGTGAAACATATTATACTTATCCTTCAAGACTGCTCTGTCGTGAAGGAGGTAGGCAAGTCGCCAAGTTAATTGTCTTTAATTGTTTCATATACTGTTATTTATTCTATTGTCTGTGTATCGAATTCATATTTGTCACTGATGTTTTCCTATCTGCTATAGCTAAATGAAGCAAGCATTTGATAGGAAATAAACGTGTGATAGAATGAGGATTTTTTTAATTATTTATATGCAATAGTAATTTAATGAACATAAAAAACAGGCGATTTCAACATTGCATTGAGATAGAAAAAGAATTTTAGTATATAGATGTAGCAAACAAAGTAATCGCTCAGAAGCATTAAACACAACAAAATTACATGTAAATTACAGACTCGGTTTGATGATGGATGATGAATAAGTGCAACATCCCTTACGCCCCCTTGCACCAAGTTTGCTTTAATAATATTATTATTTTAGATTAGTAATTTTAAATACTTCAGAACTAACTTACATCATAAACGAAGTGGTTTAATTTTCTTATTTTATCTGTCACAAATTCAGAATGAGTAACAAGATATACAGATTTTCAAATTCTATAACAGGAACACAGTATATGTACATTGTTTCAAAAGACTTAGTATGCCCTCAAGTTTGTACCTGTTTGACGGCCTGTTTATGACATATCAAACGCGTGAAGTAAACGATAACAAAACATATACAGTCAAATTATTAAACCAGGTAAAATACAAGATAATATTCACATCGCAAAAAACATATCTTTACACTTCATTTATACAAAATTATTTATGCGTGACATTCATATCTTAGGGTTTTATTACGTAATCTTAATAAAAGAACCAAAGCGTGATGGTACATCAAATATTTAAAATGAATTAAACGAGAATATATATCTGCAATACATATGTTAATACATATAAATTCTCAATATCACGTGTTTTATGTGATAGATGTTGTCCGGATGCTTTAAATTTCAACTATTTATTGCTTATTCATTGTTCTCAGGAGGTATTCGCTTTTCTAAATATTTTGCATCAGCTGTTAACTCTATGAAATACATATTAGTAAGTTATATGCAACGCGTCATTTCAGTTCAAAGTAACATCGTAACAATAGTAATTATAATGTACTTCAATGTACATATGAATACATCACTAAACTAAAGTCCAAACATGTGTGGAACAAATATTAACTGATTCAGCATTTTTAGTTTATGATATAAAAATTTATGATTTATGATGTAAATTGCCACCGAAAATGTATATTCTGTTATTTACTTGAAAGAAAATTGTACTGAATTCACCTATTGTACTAACGATGAATTGTCAGCAAATTTAATTTCAGTTTTCCCGAGATATACGAAATAAATCCCATATGGATATATCACGAAACAAAGATCTTTCAGAATTTCTTGATCCGACAGAAGAAAATCATTTTTGAATAATTAATGACAAAATGAAATATTTGATTACAAGTTGGCCTTGATAAATGAATATGTAATCAGGACCGACGTCCTCACAATTTTTTTTCATTTTGTGCCATTCATTATTTTTCTAAGCACGAAAGCTCATGGTTGTCATATTCATTAGAATTCGTTTTGACCAAAAAAATGAAAATGGTTTGAAATAGTATGACCTAAATTATTAAAATGACGTTTCAACATCTAAACTTGAAAAACCCTACATGTTGAAGAACATCATACCGCCTTGATATCTATATATCTATGTATGAAATATTTACTTTTATATAATACATTATAATTTACATTATAATGTAAAACAATTATCATACGAAACTTAGATTCATGCTATTTTTCATTAAATTACTAAAAAAAAATGAATTATCGAAAAACGCCTGACATGTTGCTGATTCGAAGTTTACGCATTTTCATGGACACCAGCGTTTAATGCAATTTGCAGTGCTTTAAATGAAAACGATTGTCTAAACAAATAAAATAGAACATTGAATTTGAGAATAAATTTTGAATGGAAGTCAAATGCAATATTATTGTCCGATATTATTATCATTATTATTATTATCACAATACCTAAGCATCACAATGACATATTTCTTTAACAAACTGAGTATTATTGTAAATAAATTGAAATTGAAACCAAATGTTATAAAACCTGTTTGTCTATCTGTTTTTATGCAATAACCTTTGTAACATTCCATATACAGGTGAATAAATAAATAATAACATTAATTCATAACATCTTGTACTGAATCAATTGTGTTTATAGATCCCTGACTCGTTGGTTTAATTTAAACATTTGAAGTATTATTATTATTATCAGTATTACTGTGTTTTTTAACCCTGACACCTTAAATCTTTATCATGCCTAAAAATGTGTGTTATCTCTGTAAAACTTACTAAAGACGTAAACGTATCACAGTATTATAGCAACTCGATTATTTTGATCACTTGTAGTATAATTTGGAATGCCAAGTGCACTAATTAGATATGAAAAAATTTAATAACCTATTAGAAGCATTTTGGTAAATGTCATAAAATAACTAGAGAGAGTTTTGATAATATTGATAATATTGTACTTTTTACATAAATATTAAGGATTTATTAGTTCAACTTTAATAAGGATTATGAGAAACCACGGACCAATTTGTAACTGGCAAGTTGTAGCGAAATTTATTGTAGTTTTCTTTACACTAACTTCTTAATTGATATACGTTGAAAGTGTGGGGTGTGAGCAAAAGGTGTGTGCGCATGTGTTTTTTGAAAATGGAAGCAGAATTGACCTGTCTGAACTTGGAATTAATACAGGAGTACTTTTGTAAGTTGTAATTTATTCACTTGATAAAATAGAAACAGTAAAATAGTAAAATAAATGAACGAAATAATATTTAAAGACAAAATTAAGCTAATATATTTCAAAACTTGTTTTCTTTGTTTTGTTTTGTTTTGTTTTAAGTATAATAATAATTTATTTATTTATTTATTTATTTATTTATTTATTTATTTATTTATTTATTTATTTATGTATTTGGTCATTAGCTAATTACATAACGTTGAAGAAATATAACGATCTTTTTTTACATAATTTATTATACTCGTACAAATATTTAATGTTGCCATGTGTAGAAATAATAACTTTGTCAAGTTTTGATTCGCAAAAAATAAGCGAGCTCTTGCTATTTTTATACCATTTACAAGAATGAAGGATCTAAAAGGAGATGGAGACTACATGTACTCATTCAACCAGTGCTTTCCATTTAACGAGGGAACTTGTCTGAATGTAGCTGTATGTATTTTCCTTTTAAAAAGGTTCTTGAAATTTACTTACTTTGATTACAAATACTGCTGTCCACTCCATCTTATGACATGTATGATTACATTTGGTTGAAGAAACAGTTTTAGTGTATACTGTCACAAATTTTGTTTGAAGTCCTCTGTATAATGATTTTAACTTAATATTTTGTTGGAATTAAAATACTACTAAGTTTGTATCATTATATATTATTGGGTATATAAACATGTATAAAAAAAGCAAACTTTTAAACCTTAACCTCATCTACGAACTATAGACATAGAATGGCAAGAAATATATGGAGTGATGAATCAAAACATGGGTTTGATATCATTTGAAAAATTATATTAGCTTGGGTTGCTAATATGTACTATTAATTCATGTTGTGTCATATGTATGCCCTTACAATTATAAGATTATATTTTTTATTTATATTTGAAAAATATTTTATAGAAATCTATTCTCATACATTATTAAATTTTCAATCCATTACTTTAAACCGGAATACGTGCCTTCCGGAACAGGGCTTATATGTGTAAAAAATTATGTTTGTGTATGAATCAATAGAATCATAAATGGAGCATAACTGATGTATTCGTTGTGCTTTTTGAACAAAAAGGTTTAATTTATTTACTGATTTTTTGTGTTAAATGGACAAATATTTTTCTTAATTTTTATTTGAAAGGAGCATCAAAATAGTCACAATCATACTTATAATGGACCGCCAATGAGTCTAGTATACGAACCGAGATAAAATACGCTCGTTTCATAATAGGTGACAACATATTACAATGCTATAATTTATAATAATGTTCTATAGCAAAACGTCATATGTGTTCTTTATATGTGACTCAGATGCATAAATGCCGAAGCTAGAGGCCATTGGCGAAACATCACTACGCACTTATGTTTGTCTTTGTATATCCGGAATTTACCTATGTATTTTATTACTACTTATGTATGAAAGTATTTCAAATAAATTTATATAACAGTAGTTTCATCATGTTGATGAACAATTATTAAAGATATACTTGGCTCATCTTTCAGCAAAATGTTTTAATTGCAGAAATGTATTGAAATCAATATCAAATTCTTACTGTTATGTCTTATTTTAATAAATTTAAGAACTTCTAAACAAGGTCTGGGTACCTGCGTTCCTTAAAACGGGTCAAGTAAATCCGGGCCTTTCTTAAAAAGAAATTGCTAGTATTTTTAATGAGACTATATATATTCATAGTGTGTCTACTTAGAGTGTGTAGTTTAAAAGCATAACATACCTTCTTTGTATCGAGTAAAAACTTGTTTATTTTATATTTACAAAAAAATTGCATGACATTTATTAAATTTGAGCGAAGTATATCTTTAAATATATTGAACTAAATTAAGATGTAAACATGTAATGTAAATTAAAAACAGTTCATATATTATCATGCATCAGATTATGTTTGCACACATTTTGAATGTGTTTCCATGTTTCAGATTTTTTGTATACAATATATAATTTGGAATTAATTTCAGAGATTTACAATTACATCAAAGCATGCTTGTGTAATGCAACAACCTACTCCTCCGATGACAAATAAAACGTATGTACATCTAAAATATATTTTTAATAATGGGATTTTGTTCAAAGGGTAAACTGTAATAAACGGAGTAAAAGAATTCATTTTATGATATATTGCGTGCTTCTAAAATCTACGTACACAGATGATTCAGTAAAGGAAAGTTTGGGTTTTTTCTTCTTTTGTTTGCAGGCTCTCTTAAAAATTATTCGAATTCATATGAACCTTAATAATCGGTGTCAAAAAGACTGTGTTGCAGCATTAGTAAATTATGTTTTTTATTTCAAATATTGTTTTCGGGAACATCAAATAAAGTGGATGGTATTGCATGGATAGTGTACAATATATTGTTTTTATTTTTCTATGGTAATACATTTTTAACAGCTGCCATACAAACTACGGAGATTTTATCAAAAGAAGATTTGAAATTGAATAAGATGGTCATTAGGAACCCGTGAAAGTTTTATTCATCCGAAACTGGAATGGCATATGCAAATTCCCGTCAAGCCAGGACATTGCTGTTACAATCTACTCGATGAGTTCGACTTGTGCTGGCGTTGCCAATAGATGTCATCTTGCTCAGCCGTTCTCAGTCAATGGTGACGTTTGTAAGTAAATTAATAACTGAAACAGTTGCATCTTCAAAACACAAAATATATGTATGAAGGTTAAGGAATAATAGTTGTAAAACATTGTAGTTAATCGAATGTAAATCAAAGATTTCATGATATGACCACCTTTCATTTCAAATAGTTTTGCCGTTCAATTTTTCCTGTTATGATTTTTTCACACTCAATGTAACGATTTCGATTTATTTTTTATTCCATCCTCATAATTATTTAAACACATTTAACGGAGTACCGAGTAAATGTTTATCATGCTTTATTATCACAGCATCCTACTTCAATCTGACTTCTTTCAAATTATGGTATGTGTTTCATTCCAAACAAACTTATATTCAGGGATAGAAAACTCGAAGAGCAGCATGGTCACACTTGTTGTTTTTGTTTTGTTTTTTTGTTGTATTTTATTTATTTTTTTTATTTTTTATTTTTTTTTTTCGGGGGGTGGGGGTATTTTTTCATTAATTTTAAGAAATAACAGTAGCAAATAAATGTTTCATGGTTTTTGTAGTCTATACCAATCATGAGAGATAACTGCGACAGACGGTTACATATAAAGCTTTAATATATACCTACCTGTGCTTTCGTGTTCACATATCAAATTATCATAAATATATATTGGGGGATGATTCACTAAAACAATTATCGTCATACACATGTCATATGGCGGCGAAACAGGAAACTTAAGATAATTTTGGCTAACCTGGGAAGTTATAAAACAAAAGTAACGCAAGGGATCAAACATACATATGCTTCAAGTATGCTGAGGTATTTAGATGTATTCGATCAACCAAATTATGTTTAGTATTGGAATTTTAAAACAATGTTTGTTTAGAAGAAAAAAAGTGTGATATCCCTTAAGAGATATCAAAGGAACAAATTGATAAAGCAAAACGATTTATTTATCATAATTGTAATACTTTAAAACATTGAATAATTACACAAAAACGGAACATAATACATGCAGTCGTACATCTTACAAGCATTAAATTCTGAACTATCCTATGTTAAACAAATAGTGCATAGTACATAATACTTAATCTTTCATGTTCTGAGAATAATCAAGACAAAAATGTTCTTAAATATTACTTTAAAGAGTCTGAAAGCAAGATAATGGAAAGTCATTTTTTCATGCATGACACTAAAGTAGATTCTAGAAAATGTATATGGTAAACAAAAGTACATAATGACGTTGTTCAAATGGTTTTACTTGTTTTCCCTGTTTATGCAAGAATTAATGCACGGAGAAGCACCAGATGTTTTTTTCCTTGATAAATAATCGCTTCAAGGCATTTATGTAACTAAAACCCACACCAAAATATAACTGCATATCTGCGTACTTTTTGGATGAAATAATAAAACACAATCTTCATTTGTGTACAATTGCGCCTTATCGAATTAATTGCTTATGATAATCTATGTTTTATTGATAAATTATGATATAAAATTGGTATATACGTATGTCAAGTTCCCAATATTGCTTTTTTTATATACCTATAAATTTTCTTCCTAAAATACATGCAAATATTGAAGCGCAAATACGCTTCAACAGATAGAAATTTCCGTATTATGTTAGTGATAAATACGGTACCATATGGAAGTGTCGGATTATTTTTGACGTTGGTTCCGATCTTAGCTTTGTATAACGTAGCATTTTGAAACGGGAACCAAAATTATTAAAGGCGTGGCCAGTTTGCAAGAATTACGTATTCATCCGTCAGTCTTGACTTTATTTCTTGACAAATACATTTCATTTTCTGAATAAAACGAAAAGGTATTTAATAAAAAAAAATATGTTGCAGAAGCTTTCTGACACTATGAATTTTTCTACTCGCAACGTTGGAAAATTGATATCTCGCGAGACCAATTTTCAATTTTCCACCGCTGCTCGTAGCAAAATACAGAGCCTCAGAAAGCTACTACAACAAAATATTCCGTATATATCGATTCACGCCTTTTTGCCATAAGAACTTTAAAACATAGGTATAGCTGCAAGTTAACATTTTATAAGAAAATAGATGTTTGCTAAAAGTAAGTGTTTCTAGTAAATATGACTGACACCAAAAGTAGTTATTTAAACTTTTTTATGTATAAGAACACCAGAGAAGCTGTTTACTGCGTATGTGTTTTCGGATAAGCTTTCATTGTTTTCACAGTTACTTGTACATTTTACCGATACTTCGTTTTCTTTTTCAACCGCTGTAATTGCATCAATGGTATAACATTTCCACCACGTTTTTTCTCCTATACTTGTTTTAGAGATAGGTCTATCATTCACGACGATTCCAACATAAACCCAAGTGTTGCTAGTTAAACAGACCTGTGCTGTAAACAGATATAATCCACTAACGGGTGCTACAAACACACCAGTGTTTTTGTTATAGGCATCGCCAATGTTGAGAATGATATTTGAGTAGACAAACACCTTGTTGTTTCCTAACGATTTATCTTTGGCCGTGTCTGCTTTGAATGCAATAATTGGCGTCAATGCCAGTTCTGAAAGTATATAACGTATTCAACATAACTCAACTTAAAATGCAATGTGTCTTAATGTTACATACATTATTTTATTTAACATCAAACTTTTATTTAAACAAATTTTATTTAATTAATTAAAATGCTCCCCGATTAAATTTAAAAGAATGGCCATCTTGAAAAAAAACAGGTTCTGAACTCTGTGATTTATGAGTCAATTTAAATAAAAGAAGAAACATTAAATAGTAAAATGATTGGCTCCAAAACCAAGATAAGTAGTCTTAACCTAAGAAATATAAGATATAAGCATTTTAAGCTTTTTGTCCGACTGTGTATAGACTTCGATAGGAAAACACCAATTTAAAACAACAATGTGTTTGTAAGCAATTAAAATATATCTAAAAGGTACGTTATCAACCAGTTACAACATCGATTAAATTAAAAATCCTAGTCAACAAAGTTAATAATATCATGACATAAAGTTCCGAACTTTCACAGCAAGGTCTTTCACATTAAAAATGATATTTCAATTTAGAAGTAATAATTAATCATGTGTAAAACGTAAAAAAGACAAATGAAACTAATGAAACATTAAACAGTAAAATAAATTGCTCCAAAGAAATAGTTTTCTTAATGATATACAATATAAAAATTCATATTAGTAGCAATATATATATCGCTAAAAATGTTGGGCAGTTTACACACTTTTTGGAAAACGTCATCATCGGATTTTACGAAATTTGTATTTCTGACGTCAACAACGTCATCTTTTGTATTGATTCGAACATTACATAGTTTACGAAAAAAGAAGATAAATATGTGATTTACAAAATAAACAACAAAGTCTTTGATAAAGAGGGGTTTAACCCCCTCAAAACATTGGAGGTCGAAAAACTTTGTGAAAAAGACAGCCATATCTTTTAAACATATACCTATAATTAGCAAAAGGAAAAAATGACATAGGTTTTAAATAAGATTGAACACTGATATTTTTATTTGGTTGCAGTCAATGCATTTTTCAATAAAGCTTTGGCTGTTTCATCAGAATGGTTTGGGTTATTTTGTTTGGTTCATTTTATGATATACCCACTTATGATGTATTTAACTTCCATTGATCAATAAAATGTAATATAATAAAACCAGGACAAACTTCATGCATCACAAAAACAAAACAACTGCACAACCAAAAGGAATTTGATCAGTTATATTACCCTGTATTTTCTGTACTTCTTTTGAATAGTTATCAATTGTTTCGTCAGTTTTAACTTTCATCCTCTTCAGCTCCTCGTCCATTTTTGTCTTCAGCACTTCAATATCACCTTCTTTTTTCATAAGATCCTTATTGAATTCACTTCTTTCCGTTTTCAGTTTCTCTAAAGCATCGAGTACTCGTTGCTCCGTTAGTTGCATATCACTTTTCATTTTCTCAACTTTTATTTCCTGTCTTATCATTTTTTCTAGAGTCTGCTCTTCGTAATGAAACCTGGAGCAGGTTGGCTCTGAAACAGATGGCATACTAGAATGTAATAGCAATATCACTATAAATACGCAACGATCCATCTCTGTGCTCTTCTTCCAGCAAACTGATTTTCTATCAGCCTCAAATTCTCAACAGCAAAATGCTGCTAAGAAAGGGGTGTATCAAAGATACTTATAAGCGAATTCCGTTGAATATACCAAACCTTTCTGCTTTCGTTGAGGAGGTTTTAATTTTTCGTTCTAGACAATAACAATCTGATTAGAATACGCTCATTTCTGGTTTCACACAGCCAATCATAATTTTGAAAGCAATGCGGTTTCTAATTTCAACCCTGGGAAAAACAATGCTGAGTGGGTTATTTTCTCGATTTCGAGACTAAATATGGCGTTGTTCATAGCCGACAGGTAAACTGGCAAATTAAATATTGACTATTTTTTCAAGTTAATTTGTTAAAAATTACTTCAAACATTTTTTTACTCTCAAAAATCAACAATTTGTTTGACTTCCACGGATAACGGTATTTTGATACTTCTTCTAATGATACTTCTTCTAATGACTATGTAGAACCTGGTTGGATTACATTGCTAAAAATAGCTTTCTCGGGAAATCCGTATTATAAAGAAGGCGAAACATAAACGTCGTCCTCAGATTTACATAAAAGAAAGAAGTAGATCTGGCGAGCATTTTACTCATATTCCGTTAGTTTAGCGTATCTTTTTACGTAAATTTGGACTTTCGCAAAACGTAAATTAGCAATAAGTAAGTCAGTCTGTCCGTTTGCAAAAAATTTTTAGCTCGACTTTTATTTGAAGAAAAAGTAAAGATATTATACAGTCATTAACCGTTGCCATCCCCCATCTTTTTTATTATTTTTTTTTATTATTTATTTATTTATTTTATTTTTTTTTTGCTGTAACTGCCTTTAACATTTTTATCGATAAATGGTTTGACAGTATATCAAGACACAATATCTTTTAGGATAAGTGTTATGCATATTATAACACAAATAGACATTGGCTCATTTATGAAAATGACCATTGATTTTTGCTATATTTGTCTGTAGCTTGGTAATTATTAAATGCATACTTTTATTTTTAAAAAAAACCTGTTGGACAAGAACTTCTAAAAAGTTAAACTGACCTTGACCTTGAGCTTTAAATGACCTTTACCGTCGAGGTCAAATTATTGAATTTTGGTATAAATTGTCATAATTTTGATATTTATGTACGGATTTGATTTAAAGATGTCAAAACAAGACATGCTACCAAAAAATTTTTAAGTGATTGAAATGTTGCCTTGATTTTTAATAGATCATGATTGTCAAGGTCAAATTAATGAAATTCTCCTTTTTCCTGTAACTTGCTATAACTTAGTTATTTATAATTGTATTAATTTCATATTTATCCATTACATTTTTTTGGTCAGGAACTTCATGTATAGCATTGTATGGCATTGATCTTAAGGTCAAACTAATTTTCACAGAATATTGTTTTAACTGGCTGCAACTTGTTATTAAATCAATGAATTATCTTCATGCTTCGACAAAACAATCTTTTGGTCATAACCTTCCAAAAGATTGAACTGACCATGACTTTGAGCGTTAAGTGACCTTGACCGTCAAGGTGAAATTGTTGAATTTTGTTCAAGTTGACATAATTTTGATACTTATGTACGGATTTAATTCAAACATGGATAAAAAATAACAATTGTGACAAAACCAACAAGTTGATTAATTTAATATAACCTTGACCTTTAATTGACCTTGACCGTCAATCTCAAATTAATAAAATTCTCTTATTTTTAGTATAACACTGAACCTTTGACAATGTGTACAGTTTTTGATGTAAAATTAAACTTTGATATCAACTGACCTAGATAATGTGACGGAGTGACCTACTTTTGAACTTTGAAATCTGGCCTAGTTAATTTCACCAAGTGACCTAATTTTTTTTATGTACAGCTATGACATTTGGACCATATGCACAGTTTAGATGTTAAATTTACCTTTGATCTCAGCTTACCTTGATAATTTGAAGAAGTTACCTATTTTCTTGTCCTTTGATGTACAGCTATGAAATTTGGATCAAGAAGCAAACGGAAAAACGTTCTTTTACATCAATTTTTAAAAGAATTGTTCGAATCTTTTATTTGTTTGCTTTCAGAAAAAGTAAAGAAGTTAGCGTTTCCTCTGCCCAGTGGTGGCTGTTGTTATTCGTGGTTTTTCTTCTTTATGCAATATGTTAAAATAACCTTTTACACCATTTAGATATTAAAAAATTGTTAATTTCATTGAACTTTTTTTTCTCGCAATTACTTTTGAACTTATCTACAGGGAATCAGTAGTTTAGTAAGTTATACTTCTATTTCTATTGACAAAATGGCGGCCAATTGTTAGTTACTCTCACTAACCGATGCAGATGCAACATTCAGTCAAGTCATACATATCACACAATGTAAAAATAATGCCCCTGTTAATCTTATAGAGAACTTTTTTCAGTAAAAACGTTTCTGTGCCAGTTTAGAAATATAAATGCTTTGTTATTTTGGGCCAGGGGGTTTGCTTGATGATTTTAGAAGTGTTTTTAATAGATAGGGCATATGAAAACGTTCTCGTAGTCTGTAATGTTTAAAGAAATAACAGTCATTAAGGACAGCCAAGTAACAATGGATATAGGAAGCTAACAGAGATAAAAGAAAACAAGAAAAAGACCACTATTTTCTTGCATATCGCTTGGATATCCTCTACAACTCCTCCCGCCAGTACTTTCCAGATTGCACACTACCATGTCCGATTTAAGATTTTTCTAGAAGTGATTTGATGGAATAAGTGCGGATAAGGGTGTTACTTTGAAATGGTTTAGTTTTTAACATTAATTTTTTTTTTATGTAGCATTTAAATCAATTAATTAGTTATGTACATTTATTTGAGTTTATATTGTTTCGTTGATTCTAATTAATTCAAATCTCAATCAATTTTTTTCTTTCTGTTTTTCTCTGTCGTTTTCTCGAAAATATTATTACATATTGATTATTACACTATCATGGCAGCTTAGCAAGACAGTCAAATTCGAGGCTTAGTATAAGCTTCTAGCTTTCTCTTCTTTTCTGATAGATTACATGTTAAGTTTCTGTATACATTGCAGTTTTGTTTTAATTTTGAATCTATCTGTAAATATTTGCAGTGTACTTTGTATGATGTATATTGGAAATAAATATTGTTTAACAATCCAAATCTAACTTTTAATACCGATTCTTGGATAATATCAAGCTAAGTTTTCTCCAATTAAACCCTTTTACAAAAGAGGAATTTTATTGTTATATAGTCAATGATTCAGATAATTAGGTGAATAAACTGTCATTTTAACATTAGGCAAAGAGCGTCAGTAAACTTTGTTATATAACAATTATATCTGAAAAGTCTATTTAATCCTTCCTTGATTTAATTTCATCTATGAATGGAATATAAGAATTTTGCAAATTATTAAGAGATAATTGTGGCCATTTAAGATATTTGTCATGTACATATCTGACTGCTCTCTGAATCCTCAAATCTTATTAAGCTTTTTCTTTAGACAACATACAGCTAGGCTTTTGGACTTTTATTAGTAAGAGTGAAATATACCTGCCGCTTTGTAACAACCCCGTTTATTCAAGCAAAATAGGTTAAAGTTTTGGCAATCTTTACAGTACATCATCAACGAGGAAGTGGTATTATAACAAAAAATTGTTTTGTTAGGCCTGTTTAAATAAATTATTTTATGATTGGCTGAAAAATGTAATAATGCAATGTTTCCAGATACCAATCTAGTTGAAGTTTTCAAGAACTGCCAAAAGTTACCATAGAAAAAATGTTTATATGAAAGTTGATTGGGAAGGTTTCCAATGAATATGCTGTTCAAAATCGCTGAAGGTGATTTAGAGAACACAATAACTAAATGAAATAGACCATCGCAAATATGAAAAAATAGCCGCAATACTTAACGTTTTAGAACGTATATTCCTCTCTGTAATATCAGGATGAAAGGAAAACAAAGCAATACAATTACAGTGTTACATCTTCAGGACGGCCTTTTTTACAACCATTTTCTTCTCACAATAATAGTAAGAATTTATACAAAATTTTCAACAAAATAAATTTAACAACTTATGCACACTATCGATCTTTCGGTGACAACCAAAACTTTGTCGCAGAAGTTTACTTTGTATTAATCAGTAGAATGTGTTTATATGGGTTTATTAATCCATGTAGCGTTGGTTCTTTTAATAGCTTTAGGTTTATTGGCATACTGTATAGGTGTATACAAAACACCTTTGACCATTTACAAATATAAAAAGATGACCAAGATATAACAAATACATACAAAGAATAGCATTTTAGCTGAAATACAGAATTATAATATAGAATAATATGTATATTGATAAACAATTAAAATAAAGATCATATATAAATTATTTTTTATCAATTAATAAATATAGCTTAGTATTAACATCAAGAGTTTTAGATTGTAATGAATGTAACGCTATTAACTTTACTGTTTCACTTCATTTTCATAGATATTCCCCTTTTCTAGTTGAGAAAGCGCATTGTTAATGTTATACATGTATATGTATATCGCCCATTTGTATTAAATCCTTTTTCATCACTGCATCGCTTAAAACTAAGAGACTTGTTCTTTGCTTTTGAAAAGCTGCATAATCGAAAATTGTATTGTGTGTCATTCTTAGCCGGATTTAAGTGAAAAGCTTTGCAAAGCTTTGCAAAGCTTTTCAATGTTGGCTCATTCTTCACAATTTTAATACTTGTCCTGGGAAAACGGGGTTAGAATTTTGCACACGAGTTATAATTCTAGACCTTCATCAAATGTCAAAAAAAACCTCAGTGGTTCCTTTAATGTTCTATAATTCTAAGGTATGTAATACTAAGACATTTTCATGATGAGAGTTATATCGTACAGTGGGGGATATCATTTCAATGTATTTACTTGTTATGAATGTAGTTGATGCTAGTTATAATAACGTAATAATATTTGTAATAAAAACACACAGTATATTAAGAAATATAATGGTTTGTGCGAATAAATATAATTTTTCGTCATAAAAGGGAGCAAATGTCCGGGTCAAATATCCGTTTCCGTAGATGATACAGCCAGCAAAGTTAAATGTTGAAAAAATGCCGCGGATGGCAACATTGAAAAGACACGGTTTGATTTGTCTTGTCATGTTCATGTTTGTAAGGTACCGTACACGTCTTCGGCCCTGGCTGATTTCAAATAGTAGATCCATGGGGGAAAAAACAAAAACGCCGCACATGGAAAAATTGAAAAGACATGATTGTAATGTAAAGATGGACATCCCAACACCGATTTAATACTATAATTTGAACATTTATTAATGTATATCAAATGTGGTAGTATTTAGTAATTAAATAATTACTGTTTGCTTACATTACCAACTTTGTTTATAACAATAAAAAACAATGGTTTGTGTGTACAGACTAATCAAATCAAGTCTAAAACTTTCATGCTATTTTAATGTAATTTATGCTTCGTTTCCAGATTTTCGTTGTATGTTTTTGTGGAGGCCTTAAGTTTGGATGGATGACTCATCTAATGTGTCTTGTATCCAGTACAATCACTAATATGTTTATAATTACATTGTTTACCTCTTTGGAGTCTGACTGGCAGGTGTCACACTGCTGGCACCGTAAGATGGTTTCTAGTGCCGGATTCTATCTGCGTAATAAGGCAGATGGCCAGTTTTTCATCATGATGTATTTCGTCGTGATAATTAATCTAAGACTGAACAGAAGTAGCATAACATTATTGGCAGGATGTTGGTATGGTTGTCACAATTTCTTATTTACAAAAATACTTAATTAAAGAAGTACGTCTGAGTCTTTATACAATTGTTGGAAAACAAATAAGTTAGAGTTTAAAATAGATAACAAAACACTGACCATTGTACATTAAGGTAAAAGTAAATCAATTTATATTTACTAAATCACAAGTATTTTGACTTATGTGGAAAAAAACCTCCTACTTGATAAAAAACGAAATGATTATTTGAATAAAATAGAGAATCACACACATATTTTGCATAAAACAAGCAGATGTAAACCTCGTCATAATTGTGAATATATACACACATTTACTTATTTAAAGTAGCCACACTGAGGTCAAAGTGCCTTGGAAACTAAATTTGAAAATCTTGCATAGATCATTTGATGCACTTAAAATGAAAAAAAAAACTCTTCAAATTATGATAAAGAAATATGCTCGGAGTAAAATTAAAAATCGATATTTTGAACTTTTAAAGTAAAAAGCGTTGCAATGCGTTTCATTTTTGGTCATTTTGCACAACGAAAAATATGATAATTATTCTGGGAAAACGGAATACTGGAATTATTTCAAATTTTGCACACAAGTAGGAATTCATCGGCTCGCACCTAATACGGATTAAAAGTAGTTTTATCACGTGGTTTTACATGTACAAAAATCTTTGATAATGTAGAACGAATGTATATATTTGACATCCAAAGGAAAAAAGTCATGTTTCTATACAAATCATGATTGAAAATATGTCTGACAAACACAATCAATTTTAAAAATACCCGATGATGTACACTTATAAACAAATTCGACTTGAAGTCAACAGGTAGACATTTTGGATTTTCGGCTTCTACAACCATAATAATAAGTATATAAATAATAAACTGTCTAAATTTAATTAATTTAGGTAAAATTTTACTTTTACTAGATATTTCTGAAAAAAATTAGTCAACAACTCACAGCATTAGATTACTATTTGTTTGAAAACATGTTTAGTTAGATGGAAATACCTATCCGTTCGTCCTTATCCGGAGTTTGACGGAAAGGGCCGAGAAGATCCGTTTGCTGGTAAGAAAATTCCAGTCACTTCATGTCCAAAAAAAACCCAGTGTATTCCCTTGAAATGCGTATGCGCTATGGTTACATATTGGTATATACTGCAGATTAAAAAGGAGATAACAGAATTGTTTTAAACATTGCAGAATATTATAACATGAAAACGGGAACTTTCAGGGTTATCTTAAAAAATATTTTTGTTGTTCGATTTAAAAATAATTATGGGGTTTGATTCTCGGAAAATTTGTTTTTCTCATGACATCTGTAGGCATAAAGCTTTTTAAAAAAACTTTTTTTTCCAGCAATTTATTGAAAACGAGATACAGAAATATGGCACGTGTTTAATTTAGCAATTTAGCCGTAACATTTTAAATAAAAGATATAAAAAGAAACTGTCTGTTTACCCTCAGCATAGAAAAAGGAAAAACGATCTTAAAAAATAAGATAAAAAATTCAGATTCTTTTAGTTTATTGTCCTTGAATGAGCTTGATTTTGATGTTGTTGATGTTTTTGTTTTTAGGGTTTCGGGTAGATTGGGGTGTTAATGTGTTTGTTTGTTTGTTCGCTTGCTTGCTGGCTTGCTCATATTATTTTATTGGGCTGTGGGCATTGATGCTTTTGTTGCAGGATTCCAGTTTTTCTAGTAGTGAAAGGGTCCACTTCCAGATTATTTCCAGTCCCGTCAAATCAAATAACCTCAGTGGAGACCCCTTAAAGGGGACATATAATCTTGATAAGTTGACTAAGATATCTTCTTCGGGTTGTCAAGAAGGTAAGAGAGCAAAAGTATAACAAAATTTATTGCCTTATGCTTTACAATTATTAATATATTTATTTTATCCTATAAATTTTCTATTCTTCGACAACAATTATTTATAACAGTTATCAACATACATTTTTATGCAACATAACGACATGTAGGGTGGTTATAAACAAATGTCAATTTCACTTCAAAATATCTAGATATCTACACTTTTTTGTAAGCTATAAACACTTTCCTCCAAACAAAACCAAACTTTAAGAGGGGTTGGAATTGCGCTTATTGTATTTTACAACAGAAGGAGAATATTGTCTATACAGATCCAACCCCCATCACATCCAGCTCACGTTTCATTTGACACAATGCGCACGGTCCACACAAGGCTGTCACCAAACAGTCATTGCAAATGGATCCCTGCAAAGAAAAAGAAATACCAATAGAAACAGGTTGTTATCATAACGTTAAGTTTACGTTATAAAGACATTAAAGGCACATTATACTTATATTTTTATTGTTGGGTAAAGCTGAAATGGCTATATACATGTATTCAAAAAGTTTAACTATTATATCGGTCATTGACTTATTATTTATAATGAAAAAAGTTCATTTTGAATTATAACAACTGCCTAAAATCTAAAAAGCCTGCCTAATCCTTTTCAATCATTTTAACGTTGACGATACATTCCTGAGGGATACTTAAAAAACTTTTTGTGAGTCACGTGGGTTATAATTTAAATGCACATGAACTAGACTATACAATTGAAAACAATTACATGTATAGGAAAATCTAAAATTATTTTTACTTTAACCTGTACACCCACCATTTACACTTGAATGGCCATAAGGTCACATGAGGAATCAGTTACTAATGTTACATAATAAAAAAGATATATTACTTGATATGCATCGTACAGTTACAGTATTAAATTGCAACAATCAATTAAATGATTGCACATTTTGTAATTGAATATAAATCTAAAATATCTAATTAAAAACAGTGTATATAATCCTGTCCTTACTTATATATATTGATTTTGTTAAGTTTGGTTTTATGGTGCACCAACACAATTTATGTCATATGGCGCAAAACAGGAAAGATGACTTTGGCTAACCTCGGCTGTTACAAAGTTAAAGCATCACCAGGACCTGCTAGAGCTAAGAGATGCACAGACTCCAATTGTTCAAACCCATTTACCTGCCTCTTGTTAACGGTGGCTTCAATTCTGATGCCTCAACCCTTAAAGGCGACCCATCAGACACAAGGGGGGACAAATTATTTACATAAAGATATGAATATATCATTATAATGGAAACATGTAAACTAAGAGGACATTTTGTTTTGTACACAACATAATCATATGAAATGTTATATCATTTTGTTTGTTAAAATACAATTTTACAGGATATGATGTAATGACAAAATCGATAAAACCTGCAAAATAACAATAAAAGAAGATCTTAGACCGTAACATGCTGCAGATTGTTTTGATTTTCCACATTATACATATAACAAGTAAAATCTGTGTGTAATAGTAGGATTAGGCCTACCAAATCGTTTAAAGTGAGTACATGTGTCTACAGCAAAGTTAAGTTTCAACAATAATTTAAAATATTGTTTCTTATAAATAAAAAAAGGTTATACATTGATACATACTTGTATATCAGTTATTATACAATTTCAGAACTTTTTGACTTAGTTTCTTCCAAAATATCGAGTTACCCATACTATGTTTGTGAAGTCAACCCAGATATTTTAATTGGTCTATTCAAGTGGTATATTTGTGACGTATTGATAAGGGGCATGACGAGATCAAATACTTTTATTTGATATAGTTCTCCTCCTTGAAAACATGACATCATTTGTTAATAAATCTGAGAAGAAAACAAATCATTTAAAGTACTACCTGAATTCCCCCGAGAGTCCTTAGTCTAGTTCTCATAGTTAAAAGAGCGCCCTGGACAAACAGTGGCATACATAAACATTCTCCAATTCTGGTACCAAGATGACATTGAACACATGGGGCACAGAAACATACCAATGCACCTTAAAAAAGATGATAAGAAATTAAACATGTTACAATTAAATTGTTTATGAAACCTTAACCGGTGGAACTAATAACAATCAGATTGTATATTAAACAGAATTATATGTAAAACACATGTGGACACGAAAAAAAGGAAAAACACATGAACATGTACACGAAGTAATATACAATTTTAAATGCCAAAGCTCCATAGAATACGCATAAAGATGCTCAGGCGGCATAGCAAGTGTATTTTGTTGCGTTGCCATGTGCTTGTTTCAGCGCCATCTCCTTAACAAATATTTAACCTTATTGTTTATATAATTGAATTCATATAAATGAAATAGCTGCTATACATGTATTTGTATTATGAAAACAGATACACGCATGCATTTAAATGTTTAAAGATATACTATGCTCAAATTTGATATTAGAAAATATTTATAATTGCTACAGTCTCTTGTAAATATAAAATACAGTTTAACTTCGTTAGCTCGAACTAGGATCGCTCAAATACGTCCCTTAGCTCCAACTCACCTGTCAGTCCCGGCAAAATTCCTAATAATATAATATGTATTGCTCTACCTCGGATCGCTCGAACACCGATCGCTCGAACTCTCAAACCTGATCTCTGGTGTAAACATGTTTTGACTTCATACATAGCAGATATGTGATACATTATCGGAGGTCACAATATGAATATAAAGTGTCATTAAAAATGGCAGTTTTTTAAGAAAGGATCTACCGTAACAGGCTTAAGGTAAATTGTGCTTTGACGGGAACACATCAGTACAATTATAAATGTTATATAGATAAAATGTGAAAAAAATGCTCACAATTCATTTTATCCTGCATACAATCAAACAGACCACTTGTCCAGTCCCGGTTACCGTCAACAGATGTTGTGAGTAAAACCGTGTCCATTCCAAACTTAGAGTAGTGCGGACTAGTTGGCTGGGATGTTACCGTAGTCTGCTCAGATTCGAGTCTTTCATACTCACCCTTCTTCAACCCTGGTTGAGATGTTATTGGTTCTTTGTCACTCATCTATTGTTGCAGACGTACATAGATAAATATATATAAGTACTTACTCCAAGGTGATTTAAACATTTAGAATATGTTTAGGAAAAGCATTATATAATAATATATGTATGTATAGAAGATAATTCATCGAACAAAATGAATAACATGTCTTAATTTCAAAAATGTCGCCTTTTGAACACACACACTGACGCACGAATGCACGCACATATAATACAACATCAATGAGTTCATTACACGAATTTAATATTTTAACAAACATACAATTTTAGTTACAAATAATGTCACAGACATACACTGAATTTGGTGTTTATATTGTAATTCAATGCATACAGAGTTGTTGTTTTTTTAAATATTTTTGTAAAACATATTGATTTAAAATCTTAGAAATGAAATAAAGAATTTAGAAATCTCAGAAAAAGCCGCCTTACAATATGCACAATAGGGAGTATAAGGCGGCTTTTTTCTGAGAAATAAAATATGTTTAAACTAAAGCATATCATAAATTCACAAACAAAGCTTGTCGAAATTAATTATAAACTTTAAGTTGATTTGTTCTAACAATTTTGAAAATTGAGATGCCTTGAATTTTCTAATTAACTTTTATTAGACAACTTCAATTTGCCGAGGATTCAAATATTTGTACACTTATATGGGAAATATATGAAGATATGTTAAAAGTAAAAATATCTTTGTTACACCAGGTTGTAGAGATATTAATGGGGAGAAAGTGTCCCAGTCAAAATTATTCATGTCTTCCGTTTAACAATTATTAAACAAAAATTGCAAACAGTTCAAGAAATAATTGTATATAAATGGTCAATACGGTAAATAATCCGAACATTTCTATACGATACAACTAGAGCTTTTACTTTTCATGTGAGACTTTTTCAATGTCCCTTTCTAAATGCAAAAATTACTTAATATTTTCTCTTTTTTATATTATTTCAAAAACAATTAAATTTTATTTAAAAAGTTAAATTTATCTATATCAAATATACATACAATTTTCTAATATCCTTACTATAAGCAATACAGAAATACACGTTTATGTATACGATGAACGCTAATGAAATGATATATGGAGAAAGATAAATTATGGAAAATTGAAAGAATTTTGCCTCAATCATAGGCAACACATGTTCATTCTATTGATTTTACTTATATATTGTATTGTTGAGTCATTCACAGCTACGGCAATCATGAAAGGCCTAGGCACCAGCTGTCATATCAAATATTTACATTTTCTGAGGGCTGTAAGCAGAATCCTAATTGATATTTCAAACAATAGGTAGTTAAGATTAAATGCCGAAACAAATAAATAAAATTGGTTTCACAGTACAATGTCAGGTTATCATATATTGTTGAGTACAATACGGAATTCTATTGGACTAGTACATGTTCGATTGTTAACCTGTGTAAGCATAATATTGTACTCAACAATGTATATCGACCTCTTAATTTTACGCAACCATTATTTTTTACATGAACAGTTTGACGTTGCAATCAACATTTAATGTCCTAATTAGGTGGCTGATGAAACAGAACTTGAAAGGCTTCCCAAATATTTACGAAAGATAGCTCGTACAAGAATAATTAACAATGACAAGCAGAGTTATTTCGAGTGGAATTTGGATTTTATTTGGATTGATTTCTTCAAAAGAAGCTTCATTTAGAACAATATGGATTTGATATGGAATTTTTGGACTCATATAATGGAAAGGAAGCTAGATGGAGTAAAAATATTATATTTGACGAGGAAAATGAAAACAAGGCATAATCGGTTAGATTGAATACAATCAAGGTTTATTCTAAAAAAAACAACGTGGTGCAAACGATTGAGGTTCATTTTCTATATTTTATAAGACTTAGCTGTAAACTCGGTGATTCCTTATTACGTACATGTTACACAGGAGCTACGTCATCAAGTGCCCTGATTCATATTGTCAGCATTTCGTAATTCGAACATATTTTTTATTTTTCCATATATAATATAGCAATGAAAATTAAATGATGTGTATCTTATATGCTTCTACAGATTCGAAATACTAATTCTATCTAATGAAATGCATTTCATTACAAACAAAACGTAAAAACAAATAAATCTTATTCATAATTAGATTAAATTTGTATATTATGTTGATTGGTAACTTTATTGCTTTATTATTTATTATATAGTATTAAAGTATCATTTATATAATATATAAACGTGATACACTTGTTACTATATATAGTAACAAAAAAATGCCCTCGGGGTGAAGCCCTCGGGGCCATTATTCATTTTGCGGGCCGATTATCACCTTCCGGCCATACTCTGCCGTGCATTAATCTCTTAATAGCAGAAATGAAACCGGATTTATCAGTGACAGTGATTAAAAAAGCAGGGCGGAATTTCAAAAACTTCAGGCGTTTGACGCACACATCCACTACACTTAAACATGTCTCTAATTATATAGCCCCAGTGCGGTAGACCTCGGACAATTTTTTTTAGAAATGACACGGTAAAAAATATACAGGAAAACATGAAAGAGAACTTACCTTTTTAAAATCAATATAAGCGTATCCCTTAACTTTTGAAACAAGAAATAACCGATTCAATAGATGCATCCGTTTTATAAGACACTTAAATACAAGTGTACTCACTGCACAATACTTTAGTTCTAAATGAAGTAGTTCTCATACACCCGGTTTTATCTCATGTAACTGTATAATTTTCTCAAACTAAACCTAAATCACTTCATATAATTATACCTTAACTGATTAAATATCACATGTTCAAATGTTCAAATAATGTGTGCAACATTTTCTTTCTATTTTGGGGGGTGGGGGGGAATGAGACAAAAACAAGAACTAGTGAATAGTTTCACTTAAATTCTTGAAATACAAAAACATTTTTTCCTTCTGTGGAAAGTCTTAACAATACAAAAAAGGTTAGTAAATATTTTAACTGCATGTATACAATTGTTAAACAAAATGAATATTGTGAATACTGGAGCAATGTTTTTACAGTTTATATTTCTGTCAATGACTAAAACAATCATACAAACACTGTATTTGTAAATATTGTTTTGTTGCTTTTTAATTTTTTAATATGAGTTATACTTCCTGACACATTTCACAATACCACTCATCCTTTGTAACCATATTTAAGTCAACAAGAGTTTGTTGACTACTGGGCAAACATTCATCGCGGAACCACCTTTCACATATGATGTTGTCACATCCTATCCATAAGCCCCTGTCCCTAAATTTGCACATTTAACAGTCAATACCATCATCAACGTAGTCACAATCGGAGTTTTTCTCCATATGTATTTCAGCTGTTATTGAGGTTGTTGCGGCACTCTGAGATTCGGATGAATTCAGGTCTGCAACTGTGATCCACCTTGCACCTTCAATTCTTTTTCATTTGGTTTAGATTTTACAAAATTATGGAGCTTCAAATATAAGATATGTGCCAAATCTGCAGGTTTAATACCTAATTTGACAAGACGATTTGTAAAAGAATGTCATCCACATTCTTGACAAGATTCATCTTCTTCAAATAATTTTTCAACAATGCTAGAAATGTTCACTGCAAGTTCAATAGGATTTGACACCTGATTTGGATTTAACGGGAACATGCCAGTCTTGTGTAATGCTGACGTGATATCATGAGGTGAAATGCGGTTGATCCCATGGTTAAGAAGACTTGCAAATCTATCTCTTGGCATAACACGGGCTCCAGCATAGCCGACGGACAGAACTGATTCTGTCATCTTTTTTTTCAGAAGATGACAGAATCCTTTATCCAGAGGTTGTAGTAAGTGAGTAGCACGAGGAGGCAAAAACAAAAGTTCAATACCCTTCTCAATAACAAGGTCTACCAAATCAGGGCAAAAGTGTGATGCATGATTGTCCATAGTTAAAAGAACTGGACGTTGTGACCCACAGTCGGGTACAAATATGTCCCGGAACCACTCGAAGAACAATTTCATGTTGATGTAACCATTTTGAGTTGCAGATAGTAGATATTCTTTTGGAGCAAATCGCAATTGCGTGACAATGTTTTCTCATATATCATGCAAGGTGGAATGACTTTTCTCTAGCACTGAAACCACTTTCATCACAATTGAATATGCTTTGTGGCATTTTAAATTTAAAAGAAGCAGGGGAAGCTATAAACTGCATCTTTGTTTACCTCGTCTGCAACACCGGGAATCTCAGTCTAAAATAATTATTTGTTTTCAAACAAATAAAAGTTCTGGTAGATTTACTTTTATAAATATTTTTTTTTTATTTTTTTATATAAATTGTATAATCATTTCAAGTTTTAACCAGTCGTTTATTTCCATGTGATGCCAGCAATCTTCTTTAATTTACTTTTTACGTTCACGTGAAGAACCGGAAATGACATAATAAACGGTGTTAATGGTGTAATCGGTCGAAGAATACTGCAATTGTTTTGAGTGAACCTTATATAAAACAATAATACTCATGTGATGTTATATTTTCCTTGTTCTATTTACAGTAAAAACATCTTGATACCGGAAATAAAGTTACAATCAAAAGAATGCATGTTGCATTCGGATATTAAGTTTAAGTAAATTAAAAAACGTACATGATTGAAAAATTGTTTGAAATTGAATTTTATGAGGGCTGTGACGAGGTGTAAAATAGTGAAAAATTAAAAACAGTGACCCACGTGATATGGTGTTAATTAATTTCACCACAATGTATTCAAAGTCATATTCAGGTCTTTTACCTTTCCGATGCCATAGCTCTTTCGTGTTGGTTAAATTAATGCTTTATTTAACGCTGTTATATTCAATAAACGGATTTAATCTGGACACTGATAGTAGAATAGAACTTAATGGACTAAATGCCGGAAGTTACTTTGGCTACACAGTCGCCATGCTGAACATAAATGACCAAAATAGATGGTGAGTATAATTACATCAATTGGCAATTTCGTAAATAATCAAGAAATTTTGTCTTCTTCCGTGCGTTATGAAAATGAAATAAGTGTCGATATGACTTGACTTTGAGCAATATTATGTACATTTTAATACCTAAAAGCATGTACAAGGAAAATGGCGAGGTTTTCCGAATGAATAATTCATGTGTTGTAAATGTGTGTATTACCTTCAATCCTATTTGTGTTTATATTAGTTTTTTATACAAATAAATTACAACGATTGCATGATAGAAGTACTGCTATTCTGGTTGGTGAAGGCGTGGTTGCATTCCAGTGGTTTGAGCCCACGGCCGCCTAAGTGGTTTGAGCCCACGGCCTAAACAGCTTATGAAAAGATAAAAATTTCATAAAATAAGGTCAAGGTCACTGTCAATGTGAAAAGACTGGCTAAATTCAGGAGAGATAACTTTATCAATATTCATGTTTATGGATAAGATTTGTCAAGAAAATTATATGCGTTTATTGGATATTTGATAAGGAATATTATAGTTATACTATTATGCCACAAAAAGGTCGGAATAAAGGAAAAACAGTAGTACAAGTAGTGAATCAAAATCTGATAATGGTCACAAAGACCTTAAAATCGCGGGAAGGCCTACATGGGATAGTCAAGTTCTAGCAGATCATTTGTTTAATTTTTAAACTCTGATTGTTATGATGATAGTGTGAATACATCACAGTATACCGGTCCTTTCCAGTGTTTACAGTGTTATGTAAATTGGCTAACTTGTTATCCAATTGCTACACTGGGATAATACATAGTCACTGGTTGACCTGGTTTGCACAAAAGAGCACGTGGTTATGTTTGTGTTACTGTTTGCGAGCAGTTGACCTAGCAATGAATGGAAAAGGTGTGGCTAAAGGCTCCACAACGAAAAACCGGAAAGGCCCCTTGTAACGCAAGCATGAATTCACAACAGCAGACGACAAGTTTGACCAGTAACGGTCAACATGAAGGGTTAACCGATGTTTTGACAACGTCACTTGGTCAAACGCACGGACTCGTGCAAAACATGTTAAATAACGGTTCGTCGGTATCGACAGTGAACAGCTGTAATACAATGTCTGGCCAAGATTAACCGAGCTCCAGCCAAGGGAATCTTAAATGTGTTACGAATGATGATATCATGAACTGTTTGACTTCGAAATTTAGCGAGATGTCAAAGAGATTGGATAAATTGGAACGTATTGAAGAAAAAGTCAATAATGTTGATGAAAACTTAAATATATTGACTCAAGAGTGAGTAGAAATGTGGACAGGCTGCATATATTCCATGACAGAATGCAATTAAACAAATTTGAAATGGACAAACAAGAGATAAATTACAGAATATCAAGCATCAAAATGACAAATTACGAGATACAGTCTGTAGTATGAAAGCTTAATCCATGATGAATAACTTGATCATTGGCGGATTACCGGAAGATAAAGACGAAACGCAAGAAATAACATTGATTTAAGTTCGCAAGTTCTTAGAGGGAACCATGGAGATAGATGTTGAAGATAGGAAAAGATTGATTGTGCATTAAACGTGTGCAGAGAATAGGCAATAAAATTACAGGAAAAAATAGGAATGTTTTGAAGTTTTTAATAATTATGAAAGAAAGTTAAAGTTTAGTCATTCAGAGGTAATATAGAAGCAAAATCCGGTTACTACATGAATGACCAATATCCGGCAGAGGTAGGAGCACAGCGGCGTAAACTTATACCAATTATGTTAAAGGCAAGGAAAGACCGACAGGACGCTTATAAATATCAAGTACAACAAACTAATAGTAAATGGAAAAATAAATACAGATTGAAAATATATAAAAGTAGGATAGTGGCCTTCTACAAGAGGATGATCTGTAAGTATATGTGGATTAACCAACACTAAGATGCAATGTAAACATTTTGAATCATTGTTGTTAAAGAATGATATTGTATTTTTGTTAGAAACATGGAATAACCGAAACAGTAAGATTGATTTTCAAGATAACATTTGTCACAATTTTTAAAGAAAGTTTCAAAGTAAAAAAGTTAAGCGAAGTTCTGGCGGTACTGCTTTATACTACAAAGAATGCATCACAGACGGTATTGTTGTATTTCCTTAAAACATAGTCTAAAGAAGGGAAACAGGCCGGGAGCTTACCAAAGCTTGCTCTTGAATCATGATGTTGACTCTCCGCTAGCCAATGCAGAACTCTATTTACTCTCGATCCTAGATCTATCAGGGCACTTTCAGTCCCGCGAAAACCGTCGCGCATGCGCATGCAGTCCGGCAGGTCTAGGACCACTTAATCATTTCCTACATTCACAACACCCCCCCCCCAACTTAATGAATGAAGGCTTCGGTCTTGAGAGTAATGCTGTGAATGAATCAGTAAAGAACTAAAAGTTCATTTACTTACTTAATTGTGAATTTATATCACATCGCGGCTTGAACTTACCCCTAATAAGTAGGCTGTAGAGAAAGGACTAGAAGTCCTTTTGGTACACTGGCGTTGCTGTAAAGCTTCTCAAAGGCTAGAAGCCATCTAGAACTTCATTCTTCAAAACCACCAGTCCGGATTCAACATGGTCTAGAAAACCGATGCTATCTGTTCTCGTTTCAGTACGATCTAGAAGATCTTTACTGTTCTCTTCATCATAGCACTGTCTTTTTACTGAAGTTATTTGTTTGAAATTCTGGGCATCTCTGCATGATGTACTCAAGTCAGATTCATCATGAACCTGGATCCTAATACTTGCTACATCTTCAAGACTTGACCTGCACAGTTCTGCAGTTGCCCCCATGTGAACGTTCACTGAATTGGATGTCATTATACTCTGCTGAGCCAGTCTTACTGAGTCGTCGACATCATCAATAAATTTGGCCCATTGCTCGTCAGCCCTAATGCAGTAAGGACATCCAGCAAATGGCAAATCTGCAAGCTTCATGCCAGCTATATACGATTTACACGGTGTCAAAGTTTCCGGAATTCTTGACAGCACATCCGCATTTCCGTGTGTCGATCCAGCTCGATGTTTAACAATCATTTTGTACTGTGAAAGTTCCACTATCCATCGAGTCTGCTGACCCTGAGGTTCCTTAAATCTTAATAACCAGGTCAAACTGGAGTGATCCGTTCTCGCAGTGAAGACTTTTCCTAAAATGTAATGCCTAAACTGCCTCGTGAACCTCACAATGCCCAAAAGTTCTTTTCTGGTGGTGCAAAAGTTCTTTTGTTCTGGAGTCAATGAAAAAGCTGCTATAAGCAATGACTTTATCTTCTCCATCTTGAATCTGAAGTAATTCTGCACCTATAGCCGAATCCGAAGCATCCGAATCTAATATAAAAGGATCTTCTTGATTTGGTAAAGCAAAAGGTGGTGATGTTAAAGCCCTTCAATGTTTTAAAATGCTTTTTGTTCTTCATCCCCAATGAAATTCATTCTTCCCGTTAGTTTGTAAAGGGCGTGCTATATCCCGAAAAGTTTTTGACAAAGTGATGGAAATTCGCTAACCCAAAAAAATTTCGACATTTTTGGATGATTTTTGGACAGGGCCCAGTTGGCTATGTTTTATACTCTGAGTCTGGTAAATTTTTTCCCCACTAATTTTTCTTCCTGGGAAATACTTTTTTTTGGAAAAACACATTTTTTGGCTTTAGTTTAAAAACCATTTTGTGGGGAACCTTTCTGGGCTTCGGCTATATTTCCCAGATGGTGAAAATTCCCTTCCCACCCCAATATATCGCAAAGAATGCCATCCCTTTTTTTCCGTTAATCCACCAGTATAGTTCATCACTCAGGAAATGTGGCTGGTGCATTGGCCAGACCAAACCCCATTCTAACATGCTCAAACAAACCGTATTTTGTTAGAAATGCTGTTTTCTTTCGGTCTTCTTCACTTATCTTGACTTGCCAATACGCTGCGTTTGCATCTAATTTAGAAAACTAGATGCTTCCTGACAATGTATCTAAGCAATCTTCGACCAATGGTAATGGGAAAGTATCTTTAACCGTGACATCATTAAGGGCGCTGTAATCTATGAACCATCTTACAGATCCGTCACGCTTTCTGATCAGAACTGGAGAGGACGCCCATTCTGATACAGACTCCTGTATGACACCGGCATCCACCATTTTCTTCAGATGCTCTTTTTTTCCTCCCCAACAAAGCAAGCTGGTGTGCGCCTCATGTGTTGTTTTATGGGTTTTGCATCTCCGGTGTCTATGGTATGCTCTATTGCAGTAAAGCTTCCCAAATCGAAATCACTCTTAGCGAAAAAATCTTCATAATCGCTAAGGAGTTTAGCCAACTTCATACTTTGCCCTTGATTAAGATGTTCAGTAGAAGCTTAATACAACTTTAGCAGATGATCTGGAACTACTTCTGTTGGAGTCTGTAATGATTCACACAACTGTTCGGCGACTGTTCTAACTCTTGATCTCGTAGAACTAGAAATCCTTCGAGATTTAGACGATGTAGTTTTACTGACTAGAAGTCACTTCATTTTCTTTAGGCAGAGATGTCGCTATTTCACTTTGCTCATCTAGGATATGGTCTACTTCATATGCATTTGCAATCACTTAACCCTTCTTGAATGTCTTGTAAGAGTCAGTTGGATTGACTAAACAAACAATTGGCTCCGTCTTTGAAGACATCAATGGCCTTGGCATCCGTATACTAACTGTATTCAACTTTTCATCTGGTTTTTTAAAATAGTCACTCAGATGTGTGTTGAGACTGCATGACATCCAGACAACTGAATTTGGCGGAACCACAGTACGTTTTGCCACTGTAACTCTTGCAATAGTCAGCTTTCCCTCTCTAAAGCTTGTATTCATGGGAATCTGCTCGCCATTCACAATCAAAGTGTCTGAATGCATATCCATCATAACTCCTAAATGATGCATTATATCATGTCCAAGCAGCATATCATCACTAATAAGATCAACATAATCTCTTTCATGAAATACTTGAGATCCAAGTTGCAATC